CTGTAGAAAGTTCCTTCATGCATCCAGCCATCTTTTGCCATCAAACAAAGGATTTTCATCATTTGCGATATGATGTTAATAGACATATTTTCCTTATAGAGAAAGATACGCAGATTAGCATCATTTTCCTTGGTAAAGGTCGAGAACCACAGGACCAGCACATGTGCATACTGTTGCTTTAATTGGTTACCACTTCATTCTTACACCAGTTGGAATTTCTTAGGCAATTCGTAATTTTTTCATTTTCTCAGCAAATACTTAAATATATTTAGTAACATCCCTCTCTCTCTCTTTTCAACATTTGGATGAGCCAGAGCTGTGTAAAGTTGAGAACACTGACAGGACCAAGATGCACCGTTTGTAAATGTTGGGTTTTACCTATTTCCTACTCCTAGGCAATGATATAGAACCCTGTATTAGGATATTTGTAAACCAGTCATCTGCTTTTGCAAGCCTGTTTTAACTGGTCATTCACATGAAGGTTCATGCCTGCTTTTTTTCTTATTTTACTTTATTGAATCAAGGCGAGCAGGGTGAAGCCTGTTGCATAACAAAGGGCACAATTAGGCTGCTCGATTTGCTTGCAGTTGATAGACGCTGATGCAGGACACGCACAAAGGCGAGCCAGAAAGCTGTAACCTGAGGCACAGCCAAATTACTAAACCCTGTAGCATGCTGCCAAAATCAAAAGCTTCCTTTAAAAACAGCTTTCAACCCCTTGAATCTTTGGACACATGCTCTCTGTAGCCCACAGTACTAACTAAAGAAAGGACATAAGCTTAGTTTCAGCCCCAGTAGAAAGATTTTCAACCGCTGCAAGAAAGTAAGGTAATATTATGAAATAAGATGAAAAGGCTCAATTATACCTATTTTCTCTTTATAAATGGAGGCAGTGTTGTTCATAAGGATTGATGCAGAATGGTGAGTAACTGCGTATTTACATGGCAGAGGGAAATGGGCCAGAAGACAGGAAAAAGCAAGTACAAACAAAGGTACAGGAAATTATTATTTAACTGAAAAAAAATTGTGTCTGGGTGGTGGAAAAAAATACATACACAAAATACAGGATGTGATGCAAAATGATTGTAAGAAAAAAAGTTGAACTGAATTGTATAAAAACCCTATTCAAAGGCCTTAAAGAAAAAAAACACAATACCCCAAAATACAATGTTTTTGTACATTTCTGGTAAGAAATGTAAATTCACCTTTTCCTACCTGACATGCTCACTTACACCCAAGCTCCCCTCTGCACTAAAAGAATTAAACCAGCATTTTTTGATGGCCACAACATCTTTTTTTTTTCAGTTTTGTTAAAAGTTAGAGTAGTCCTAGCGCTTTACCTCAAATCAGTAGCCAGTATTTTTTTTTTCTTACAAAGAGATTTAATAATCAAACTAGGACCAGGAGGGATTAGCTATAATTAGGATAAATATTTTCCATGTCTCGCTGCATATGTTCCTCTTAGTTAGCTGTACGCAGTCTGGCAACCTTGTCCATAACATACCGTAAGCAATCTGTCTACGGCTTCCCCACGACTGCACATCAACTACAGTGCCAGAAGCCTACTAAGCACATGGACCAGGCCATAATTTTCATATAAAAGGAATATTCTTGCTAATCTTTAGGGCGAGATAAGAAGACACAAGATACATGGTGGTAGGTACCACCAGAGAGGGGACTCGGGCACACAAGTCCCCTGTTTTTGCAACTGCAGCTGTAAGAATCAATCCCCCACTGTGTCAGTTATGTCAGCAATCATTTTCCTTCTATTTCATCACAAATTTTAGAGATAGCAACAAGAACAGATACTAAGCAATGTGGAAAAGTTGCATATATGTTCATATGCTTTTCACAACCACAGCATAGCTTAAGCAGTTAAATTACCATAAACTTCTAATCTAAAAAGGCAATAAAAACTATTACAGCCTACGTGTAAAAGGCTGCCTTTCATCAAAATTGGTAGATGAAGAAACAAAGTGATGCCCCTCTGTATGGCAGTGGGAAGGCACCAGTAACACGTGAGAAAACAATCTGGTGTTACTCCAAAAGCGTTTGTATCTAAGGCATAGTAGACCAAAAGTATCCCCTTTCTTTGCCCATTCTATCGTTCTGTCAAGATTAAATAAACTCTATACCCTCTGGATAACGTTGTGACAAAATTCTCTCTAAATAAAACCGCAGTGCCCATTTTCCATCATTCTTAGGTCTGTGGAATTGCATACATTTGTAAACAGCACATTTTCCTAATGGTAACAAAAGGATAGTTTTAACTATACTGCTAAGTGTGGCCTAGAGGCCCTGAAGGACTAGACATAAGCTGAAGTAGCATTTTACTTTTCCTTCAACTTAAAAAAGGAAAAAAAAAAAAAATTAACCTCTCTACTTCTACCCGTGCTCTAAGTCATAAGTCATATTGAGTGAAATTAGACTTGTACCTTGAACATAATACATTTACAGATTGTTATAACTACACTTTCTTAGATGACTTCTATCTTTCAGCATACTGAAGAAACATATTACTAAAGGCAGAAGAAAAACATATAGGTTCGAACAGCGTGTGCACAAAGCAAATAAGGAAACTCTTATGTCACCAGCAAAACAAATACCAGAGGAGAAGGGAAACAAATCCTTACCTCGTGTTTCAGGTTCCCGTGTTCTGAAACATAAGTAAAAATTGGCATTATTGATGACTGCAAATTTATGCTTTTTACACCCTGCTCTCAGTGTGCGCCGTGGTACATTGCAAACCCCACCACCGCCTTCGCCAGCTACCTGCGACCTGCAGCAGGAGCCGCGGCCCCGGGCACGGGCGGTGGCGGCTCCGTGCGCCCCGCGTCTATTGGCTCTGCACAGTTAATGCTCAACCAAGGCAAGAAAGGAAACTCCTTCCTCCAAGTTACTAAACTTTCCTGCAGCTGCACGGCAAGCAGACCAACTGAAACCCTGTAAACTTCTATAACCTTTCCAAAGCGCTTTGTAACTACTGACTTGCTGGGGACTCAAAAGTCAAGGCTCTTGACTGCGTGCACTCCTTGCGTCCTTGTCTTTCCAGAACGTACTGAGGGGCACATGAGGAAGCACAAACCTTCATTTTCAAAGCTTCTTGTAGCTCATGCACCTAGATACGTTATCGCTGCACTGGTAAGGCAACAGAATCTGAAGTCAGATAGATTTTTGTGCTCTTTTGCTATCAATCTTTTGTACTATTTAAAAATGAGATTAAAAAATCCCATGGGTGATGAGAAGGATGGCATTAAGACTGTATTCCTGCACACATGAACACAAACAACCACACAAAAGTACTACATTTCTTGCAGTTCTCTAGGAGTCTCAGGTCTGATAGCACAGGCAATACTTTGGCATACTCCAGGATTGATTTCAGTGCCTTATCAAAGGCCATACGGCTATATTGACCTGTGCATACCCTGGCTGTGGCCACTTCTGAAAAATTCACTGCAAGACCTTGCAAAGTAAACAGCAGTGAAGCAAGTCAAGAGCTTCACGTGAAAATAGACTTCATCCTGCTACAAAAGTTACATGAAACAGCAAAGTGTGGGAAAACCCAACTTTGGCACACCTCTACTTTGCGGGGAGATAAGAGGGCATGCCGAGACGGCGTGCGCCGGGCGGGGATGCAGAGCCGCACAGGGGCAGTGCGGCCTCGCCACCGCTGCCAGCACTGCGAGCTCCCTCCCAGAGCAGCCGCCAAAGGGGCTCCTTCCTGGCACCGTCAGAAAACCTGAACCCTGTCACTGTCACAACCTGCCCAGAAGTTATTTGCATCTGCACACTAAGCAAACACAAGGGAGGACAGGGGCAGAAAGGAGGCAGCCCCAAAGGCAGAGGTGAAGGTAGGCACTGAGGCTTTCTAAGGAGCCTTAGGGAATTAGTTGCATAAGTACTGCTGAAATTCAGCATAATTTTGGTATTTACCTTCACAATGGGATACAGATTTGCAACTTTTGCCAAGTTTTCACCTTGTGGAGAAATTCATCTTTTTTAATCTGTTACCTCAGCATTATAAATAATTTAAAATTGAAAAAAGTGACTTGGATAAATACAAACGGTGAAGGGTTTGCAACACTACTCATGCAACCTTAAGGTTTCTCTTTTTTTTGTTTGTTTGTTTTTTTATAGGCTACCTTTACCTCTGCAAAACACTGTTAGGAAAACAGAAATAGAAATGCCTTTCTATTCTTCTATGGGAAAGAATAAACTTGGTCTTTAATGTCTGCTGTTGAATGTTAATTTTTTTCCTCTAGCAACTGTCACAAACATGACCTCATGATCAAGTTTTATATGGTGATTTCAGTATCTAATATTTTTCCTAACAAATTCCCAGATTTAACTTCCAATATTTGGACTCACACTGGACTCAGAAAAACACTACAAAGATTAATAGCTAATAAGGTGATAAATATTCCTCACAATTCACAACCGCAGGGTTTGTTTTTTTTTTTTTTCCCTTTTACTATATACTAATGAGTGACCTCAGAGGCAGCAAGACCAGCTCCACTGGAGAATGCTACGACTTGAAGCCATCTCTGCACTAAACCCTAAGAAGGCTCAAAACTTCACTGACACAAACTAAGCTGCTCTTTGTGATCCTTCCTCCCCACCTACCCCCTAGCATGTAAGGAAAAGAAAATACAAAATATCAGAAAGGTTTCTACAAATACAAGACACATTCTTCTCCCTTTTTATTCATTAAAATTTCAGTATACCTGGATTTCATTTTTTTTTCAATTTTGAGAATTGATTCCTCATGGGAGTTATTTTTCCAAATGTTACCCAAGTACAACAAAACCATTAATTCTTATTTATTCCTACTTTTGGGAAGAAAAAAAATATTGAAGATATCCTCCAGCAGATCTTTTACACACAACAATTTTAATGCATGTGTCTGCTCATCAACAATATGCCAAGGACATTATGGAGTGAGGGAGCTCTCCGTTCTGACAACAAGCTACCTTTACTGCCATCATTTTGCATACTTTTGGGTTTTTTTTATTCACTGGAGCCATGATACTATTGGGTCCCATTCCCACAATTACAGCTCACTACAGAAGTAAGAGCAGCAGCAGCTGGCCCTGATAGTGAAGGAGCACGGAGCAAAAGGGGGAATAGCCGGCTCCTCTGGGATCCAACAGAGCAGCTGGATTTACATGCTGACTAAATGGAAAGTAGAATAAAAGAGTAAGCAGGAAACTACTTGCCTTCTTGTTATAAAGAACAACTCAAAATATTGAAAACATAGAATTGGTAAGTAATAATGAAAATGAACCACTTGGCAATGACTGGAAATGAGCAGGTAATGCTCAATAACCAGGAAAACAGCAAATAATAACCTGGAAGCAGAGTGGAACTTTGCACAAATGCCAAGCTCCCCACGAGATTGCTGTTCAGCTTTAGTAAAATGGTTACTTGAACCTTTGCTGAAGTTGAGGGAAAAGTGATCTCGCTCCAAGGCGTGTTCTGGGACATGGGCCTTCCTGGTCAATGCTACTGACTTGGGAGCTTTGGATGGAGGCTAGCAAATCTGCAAACATTGAGCAGGCAAGCAAAAAGGCAAGCAATGAAAGCTCTCCGTTCCTTTTAGGTGTCAAATAATACGCTCTTATTTTGAATAATCTCCATAATGTGCTGGCGCAGGTAATTGCTACACAAACAAGATGGACACTATTATCAGGCATACACGCTACAGGATGATAGCTACCTTAAATTTAACCCATTCGCGTGTTTCTTTTCTCTAAGTTCATCCTACACACAGAAAGATACTGTTTTCCCATGTAAACAAGGGTGGTGCTTTTCCAAAAGGAATTACATGAAGGAGAAAGGAAACAGGCACGAGTTACTTAAAAATTACTATTACAATGACTCACTATTATGGTTTCTAATCATCTATGCCCTAATGCTTTTTTTATTTCTGTTCCCATGGAAAGCTAAGAGGATTTTGAGGGTTTAGCACTCTACTTAAAATATTAAAATATTTTAAAATTCTGAAAGAACTATTATTGGAGGTTCATCTAACTGAAATATTCAATAGCCTGTGGAACCAGAAAATCTTTGCCTGAGCACACTTAATGCAAAGTGATAGACTTGTTAAAAGTCCAGCCTGGGACCAGAAGGGAATTGGTAATTCTGCTGTTCCAAACCAGCAAACAGGCTCAGGATGAGCTAGGGGAGCCCTGCAATACATTCTAGGGAGAATGTTGATGCCAGTCCTATCAATCCTGACAATCTCTGATGAAATTGCAAGGGTCATGGAACGCCCCCCTCCAATATAAACAGGAAAAAGGAGGGAGAGAGCTTCTCCCCGCAGCTACTGAAGATGCCTCTCACTCCTGCGCTCTTGCCAAAGGCCTCACTCCTACCTGTACCCAAAGAGAAACACTTCCAACTAATTCAAATGAAAGAGCAGGGAAGTAAATGCATACTCTACCTCAAAATAAGACATAGGCATGCAGCTGATAACTGAGAAAAGGTTGCAAGATAACATGAGATCTCTATCAGCCACTAGAAAGAAAAAGCACGTAAGTCTTTATAAAGGGCCCTAAAATGGAAATATGTGCACACAGTTGCTAAGTCCTGTGCTGTGTTTAAAGCTGTGCACTTGAGGAGTCTGCCAGAACAGAAGCAGGAGGAAGGACGGGGTATTGGGGATTTGAAGACACTGAGAAAAAGTGACAGAGTATAAGAGTTAAATGAGAGGACTGCTTCACCATGAAGTATTTCAAAGAAAAACTGTTAAACTGTTAATAATGAGTGCAGAGGGTTTCGACTTGCACCACAGGCTTAGGAACAGGGCAGGGCAGGAACAATAACAAGGGATAATACGTACATTTTGTTCTTTTTCGTAATTCAACTGATTAACACAGCAGCTTTTATCATTGGAACTTGTACAGTCTGCTGTACTGGCCTTCTTTGAAACAAAGCATTTGAAGAGCTGGCATTAGCTTGTGTGTAAGGCATAGTGTGACAACAGAGAAATTTATGTCCAAGTGTTGTCAATGTTTCCCTCATAAATGTATTATCTAAATCTGACACTTATTAAATTTGCCATTCTACAGATTTCAGTTGTCTCTGGGTGTCTGTCTTTGGAAATTTCCACAGGTTGAGACTTGGGCTGAAATACAAAAGGACTTAATCCATTCAGGGAGGTTCTAGGCATTCATTTAAGAAAGCTTAGCAAAAACATCTGGTCTGCGGTCTAAAAAGAAAACAAAACATTCAACTGTTCTGAAAAAAAAAAAGAAGAAGAAAATACTGTGTAAATATCTTCAAGAAACCTAATGGCATATTTTCATTTGGCAGTGTTTTGAATTCTGATCACCCCTTTTCAAACAGGACTCTAGACATAGAGGAGGTTTGCAGAATGCCAATGAAAATCAGCTGGGGCATGGAAACTGTTCTAACTGTTTAAAAATGATTTACAGGCATTTAAATAATAAAAACTTAGAACTATTGAGTTCAGAGAGCCAATTAGATAATTTAATCAACAAAAACACTAACAAGATGCCAAAAACTCTTTGAGTACCAAAAGAGCAAAAAGGAGCAACAACAACGAGCCCCAGAACCCTAAAAACCCAGCAGCATTAGAGAGCAGCATCACCCCTGGGCATGGTCTACCAGAGGAAGGATTTACACATTCCTGGGAGGCACCGGGGAACCAGCCACTGGCAGAATGGCAGAACCTAGTATTTAAACAGACCACTGATATCCCAGGATACGCATATTCCATGTCTGGGACCATAAGTAATACCACCTAGCTGGGGAATAATTATGTCCAACTTCCTAAAAGGATGATTGTGTTTCGTATCCATTTTCCTCTATGAAAAAGCTGTAATAGTCCCCCAGAAACAAAACAAATACACTGCAATACAATAAATGTTCCACGCATTTTGCTACTATCGAAGCATTCAGGCTCTACTACACTATATCTTATCTAAAAATACTCCCAGGCTACCTTAGCTCATTTCCTCCGGGAGCAGCAAATGATGCTGCTACAACATGAAGATTTTCAGACACTAATTTCTTTAAAGAGTTACAAAGGAAAAACTCCAGATTTACAACTACATTAAAATTTTGTGCACGTGAAATATACTTTTTCCAACCAATACAATTAAAACATTGAATTTTACATGATCTCTTTATGTGCATCTTTAATAATGTTACGTATCTTATAAGCCCTGGCGGGGGCGGGGGGAACCACACATGGGAGACCAAATTCTTCAGGATAGCTCTGGGAAAGTGCAAAGGGGAGCTCCATAAAATAATAATTCATACTCAAGTTGCAAGACTCAAGATTTTAAATGCATGCTGAACTGTCCAAAGCCTTTATTGACCACGGAGAGGAAGAGAACCTGGTAAGGCTCCTCATTATATCCTTCCTTCCTCCTGTGCACATTGCGAATGCGCAGCACAGCTTATACAGTCCATAACTAAGAGGGCAAATAAAGGGTAGAAATGGAAAACTGCAGGAAAAAAGCCCTCCAAGCCCTCGTATCAGCTGGCCAGAATCCCTCATTAGGTGGAGAAGAGACATCCATTCCAAACAAAATGGGCCAAATAATTTGTCCTTTCCACCCCTGCTTATACACGGAGTGACAGGGAGCACAGCAAGAATTGTGAGTAACTGTGCGAGTCATAAAAGAATTGCCGGTTTGTCCCCCAATGCCTTTTCGAGGCTAACTTCTATTCTCAGAACAGCCTGGAAGGGAGCCAGAGCCATGCCGTGCCTGTCGTTCTGCGTATGAGCAGGGAAAGATGCATTACTCTTAGCTTGGACTAGAGCTACAGAACTCTGGGAAGCTTCGCCAAGAGGAGGAAAAGGTAATACCTGGATATAAGCTTAACACACGTATCATTTGCTTACAACTTTAGAGGAAAAACTCAAGAGTATCATTTAAAAAGAGCAATAATCTTAAATAATGCTTAAAAGAACATTCAGCACCTTTGACATTGTCTTTTGTTTTATATTGAAGTAAATATTTTTTAAAAAGCCAAAAGTTAGAGGATAATACATAAGATCTCCAGCAACCAAGAACAAGTTCACTGACTGCAGTAGCAAGCTGAGGCAAAAGCCAAGGGGAAGCGGAAAGTGATGCAAACCAGGACCAACACAGGAGCAGCCTCCTGCTGTTCTGAAAGGCACAAAAAAAGCTAGAACCACAATCTTGAAGCAGTGAAGCTCAGCGAAGGGCAGCAAACAAGGTCACGACAGAATTCAAGCAGTAGGGGAGAGATTAACTCTGCAAAAACATTTTGTGAAGATTGTAGGTAGTGATATTAAGAAGAAAACTCAGTGCAAGCGGTTGACATAGCCTATGTGAAATATGTGAGACATGAGAAAATTCACACACAAACCACTATGAAGCAAACTGGGGAAGGAATGTGCAGCTTTTAGAGAAGTGAAGAGGACAGTAAATCAACATACAAGAAAATACAAACACATTTACCAAAAAAATCAAGGGCTTGGGGGAGTTTTGTTTGTTTTTGTTTTTTAAACTTCAAACAGGTTTTGCCAAAGGAACTCTAATGAGAGATTGAGGGGGGGTCATCTCTAGAAAGAAAAACTGTTGGGAACCTGCACAGAGGGAAGAGTCAGAGGGCACAAGGGTTATCAGACTAGCTGGCAGGAGGGTAAGCAGCCCAGTGCTGGCACCTGCCTAGGCTTAGGGAAAGGAAAGAAAAGAGGGCAGGTAGTGAGAATTAACACCTAGAATTAGCAGTGAGCATCCCCCCCCACACACACACACACACACACGATGTCATAGAGAGAATCAGAAACATCAGAGAAATCAAAACTAAAGAGAGACTAGGGTAGCTGAGGTTGGAGCATCCCTGAGGCAGGAGGAGAGCTGGAATAGCGTCGAGGGACATGGTCAGGGAGAGACTCAGGTACAGCCACAAAGAGAAGGGCAGGAAGGAAAACAGTCCTGAGATATGGCCAGTAGTGAGACATCAATCATCTTTTTGTGAATATTGCCAGTGGACTGAAATCATGGGAACGTGAGAGATCAAAGAGGAAGCTGAGGCAACACAAACAATCAGCTTGAGGAGCTAGGAGGAGAATTGACAGAGACTTACAAGCTGAGCAGTGAGGGTGACAGATCATATACTATACGTGTTACTTATGAGCAGTTTATGATTAAAAACAGAGCAATTCCTTGCTCCTCAAGATACTGGTGAAGAAATCCAGTCTATAGTAGCTCACTCTTCCTAACATTTCAATTTAGTAAGAATAAAAATCCCTACGAATTCTAAACGTAGTTCTAATTGTGCTTATAAATGGTAATTTCACAAGTATGTATGTTACAATAAACACAAATTAGAAGTAAATTAAACCTTAATTATACTTAGCAAATTTTATGTCCTAATTAAAAATGGTATTCTAACAATAAAAATGACTTACCACCTGAATTAGCTCTGCCACAATTGTCTAATCTTCCTAAACACTCTTTGTGTGCTCCAGCTCCACACTTAGAACATAAATAGCCTTGATAAAATGTTCCCCTGTAAAATAAAATTAGATAGCGATATATTAGAGGTGATAAATCCCATGCATAAAGGAAATAAGAGACACAGCAGAAGGTATTTGAAGTCATTTGCTGTTCTGCATAATGATAGTTCTTACAGGCTTGAGAAACAGTGACAACAATTGACAAGTAGCTCATCTGCTTTTCATCACAACCAGTCATTTAAAATATCCCAGCCGGATAGTTATTCTACCAGTAACCTAGAAGAACTATTTTCATTTCAGTTTAGCTCAAAGCAACTTTGGCACAACACTTGAAATTGTACCATTATGTATCTGTCCCACTCCAACTCATCTCCATTGGAATTTGCCCAGACAACATGAAGAGCAAGCTCTATTTTGAGCAGGCTAGAAGTATGAATATATATATTTAAACATTAATAGAGGGTTTTAATATTATTCACAAAATAGCTCATGATTTCCAATGTGCTCATTTAAAAGATAACTGGGCATGCTTTAGTTAACATCCACAGCTTTCAAGAAAGGAGTTACTTTCCTTACCCAGTGTTAAATCAGACTCCCCTTAACAAACCGGAATCTGAATTTGAGTCTCAGGAAATTTATTTTCAGACTTGTCCATAGCTTTTCTCTCAGGCAAAATCCACAGCACGGCTAACAGAAAAACCTTTGTACTTGTACTCAGCATTGTACTTGCATGCATTCGGTGCATCTGCTTCCTCTTTACAGTAGATTTGGCTGTCTCCAAGATTATCCTGACCCATATCAGGGGATTTTGTGTCTAGTCTAATGCGACACCTTCTGCTTCAAAGGAAACCCAAGCCGCACACGTGGGACACAGGACTCAGCAAGTTTACCTTGAGCACAAGGTAGAGCAACTGCTACAGCAATTACTAGACTGTTAGAGTGGGTTTTTTTTTAATTGAACATAGATCCCTAACCTTCAGCAACAGAATATACAAACTTGAATATATATATATATGTAGTAAATATAAAATATTCTAATGCAATCCATTGTTTTTTTTTTCCCCTACTTCTTTATTAGGGCATAGAATTATCCTTCACCTCAGAAGCTTCCAAGACTGGGAATTTATCCCCAGTTCAGAAAAATTAGGCACTGAGGTTCTTTTTGCCTTTTTTTTTTTTTTTTGAGTATGTGAGAGAATCATAGTTTAGCATTTTGAAGCTGAAAGCGACAATTCATTTTCAAAAATTATTTAGCACTTAACAAGCCTAAGTTGGCTCTTAACACAACTTCCAAATGCAGGACAGTTGAGGATGTCACAAGCAAGCTCTGGGGACAGCCGAGAGCCCGAGACGCAGCCCGTGTGCTGATGCAGAGCACTGTGGCCTCAACTAAGCGGTGTCCTCAGCAACGGCAGCACTGCAACGTGGTCACAGTGCCTCTGCCGTGCGGCTGCAGGAATTAATCATCTGGCCCTCACCAAGTCAGACGCATCCACACCACTCTTTGCAGTCGCTCAGGCCTTGTTACACTGAGCAAAACATCACCAAAAAATCTCTCCAAAGCCAGGACAATAAAACCATCCAGGAAAAAGGCTCCTAAAGAAAAATACATGACAAAGAAACATCCCTCGTGTCATTGTATCCCTTGCCTGTACCTACCCAAAGTGGCATTTTTCTACAGCAAGCAACAGCAGCGCCTCAACAGGCAACATCTGCAGAGCCTTTGCATGCCCGGCTCATGCTGTGCGATTTACTTTCTATGCATACCTCTATACCATTAGGCATTCCGTTATTTACAAGCAACCAGGTAGCTCTTTAAAGATAGCTCACATAATGAAATAGGAAAAAGATAAGCATGTGTGCATCTGTTTTATAGGAAAAGGAAGAAAATATGGAATTTCTCATGGTGGTCCACTAGCCTCTCTTACCTGGCTTTGTAACATCTACTTGCACTTTGCCTGGTTCAGCAATGCCTCACAGTTATTTTCAGAAAGCAGTCTCCTTATATCAAAATTTTATGATCATCCTTCTCATCTACCTTTCTGAAAAAAACATACCATCTGCTCTTGTGACTGCTGACCTACAAAGGGACCTGCAGACCAACCACGCTGGTCAGAGCTGCACAGAAAGTTGCTGTTACTCTAACTTTAACATGACTTCCATCTATTGAATTAAGTAATTCTCAAAAGACAAGAGAATTAAACAGCCTCCTGAAAAATGGGGCTGCAACTAGAGAACGTGAGCTTTTAACAGCACTTCAAGCTAATAGTTGGAGATTTGACCATAAAAATCTAGTTATAAGAACAAGAAATACCACATATAATCAATCTTATGGCTTGTCTCTCCTGGGTAAGTAACAAGCCCTTGGATAAGTAACAAGCCAGCTGTGTATTTCCACATTCTCATTAGACTCAAAATACTCCACTTGATAAAAGAAGAAGTTAAAATCTTACCTCAGAAGCATCTGACAGACTTTGCAAGATGTCACACGATTGAAGGTATGCATCTTGAACTCATGAAAGCTTGTATCTGCATAGTCTGGCCGTATGTTTGACCTAAAGGAATTTAAAAACCTATTTTAAACTGAGGAAATCTAGGACATAATGTAGCATTCTTAGAATGCGATCCAAACCTATGAGTTTAATACTGTTTTGCTTTCTTTGTTCATTCAATAAGATCCAAAAACTATATTAAAAAAAAATCAACTAGCTTAACACCATCAAAAAAATGCTAGGAACATAATTTTAACAGGCTAGACTATATTAGTCAAAAAGACAGATTCAGCATGGATTAATATATTTTAAAATATATTATTTATACTACAATGTTTAGGATTCCATAAATCTCTGGCATTTTTCTTGCTAATGAGCTACAATGATGCATAGGTATCAAAACAGGAAAAAAAAATCCAGAGGGTAAGAATCATAACCTACAAATCCTAAAGGAATGACCCCAGATGCTCTCAGGCACATCAAAGACCAACTCTGTTACTATCAAGAGGACTGGAGATATTTATTAGTTAAGTTCCATTTGTATGTATTGCACATAACTTCGACCAAAAAACATAAGACAGTTGCAAATTACAGTGATGCATAAATATAGGCAAGCATGCAAGCATCATTCTCTCCAAGAGTGATAGAAGGCTTATGAAAAATATATTTAAAGAAACTCCTTAAGTACTTAGTGTCAGAGAGGTCAGTCTTCTAACCCACTTGCTGAAGATGAACTTGCTGAAAATAAAACTGAACTCAAAGCAAATAGAATCTTGCTTTTATGCTTATGAATAACCTTACAATCAGCACAGTTTTAATCAGCTCAGTAGTCTCTCTCTGTACTACACATAATAAGATGCCAATACCGCATCTAGCAAAACCATGCATGGATACCATCACATTCAGAGGAGAAAGGTATAAAGTTAATTTCGAAACAGAAGAATTTTAGCAGAGAAATACCATACTAGAGATCTTACACTTTACAGGGCAAGGCCTGTATCCTACACTATGTTTGCAAAAGCACTAATTCTGCTAAAATCTCTACTAAAAACTGTGGGCAGCACTGTAAATGCTCCCATACAAATGGCACTGCCCCAAAACATCTGCCTTTTATTTACTCTTTGATTCAGACTAAAACAGCGTGTAAAACCACGTCGAAAGTATCATCTTAATGTGCAGACACTAATTTGGTTTGTTTTTCAATCTGATGAAACTAAACAACCTGGTCATTTTTCAAGAGTTTCCACCTATTTCGTTAGAACACGATCAATATTTTAAAATAGTAAGGATAATGTATGAGCAGAAAAGCCTCACACAGTTAAACACAAGCATATGACTATATAGCTTTCATATGTAAGAATTTCTCTTACTTTCTTCTGTCAGGTTATCTTCCACAAAGATTCAAATTTAGGTAAACCATGGAAAACACCTGCTATTAACAGAACACAGACAATACAATGATTTCATTCCTCCTTAAATTAAGAGTACTATTTTTTTTTTAAACAAAGTCATTCAGTTTTTTTTTAAAATTCTTAATAGAAAGTGTTGGTGGAGTGTGGAAAGGAGAAACATACCTCAAAAGCATAGTCAAAAAATGGCAAAGAACACAATGATTCATTGAGAGAAGAGCTGCCACAGGAGCTTTCATCTTCTTAAAACATACGCTGCTTTATTCCGCTTATAGATATTGAATTATAATGCCTTAAACAAGGTTTATCCAGATGAACAGACCTACTTACAGGCTTTCTTCTGTATGCTGAAATTTAGATACACTTGCCCTACTTGTGTAGACAGGAATACAGACTGCAATAAACCTTTGCCCTATCTTGTCTGTTTTTACCTACAAGACGACCTAGTTTCATTCCAAGTATACGTTGGTTCTTAAGAAACATAAAAATATAACATAAAAAGTCAAGTCTTCTAAGTCTCTTTAAGTCCCACAAGGTTTTAGTTTCGTGATTTTAAGATTCTAAAGACTACTTCCATAAATTTTCTATCAAAAGACCTGTACTTTTTTCACCCACCTACAAATCTTTCATACCGCCTGTCCATTCGCTGACATCTAACTTCATCTCTGTTCTTAGGAAGATGGGCCTCCTGGCTGAAGCATGTTACCAAAAAGATCCTCTGAAATATCTGGTTTTAAAGTGCATGAACCTGACTAGCTCTTTTAGGAACCTATAGCAATTGCTCATAAACCAACATGTTTCTTTGAATTTTGCTAGCCCATCTGTCTATCCCTCACAAGTTGACACTCTTCTTTTATGTTGCCCAAAGCCACATCACCCAGAAGCAAAAGCTTAATAGCCCCCAGCAATGACATCTTAGTGAAGAAAAAGAGATGCCACAAAAGCACATCATCCATCATTAAATGGATTTGGAAGGGAATGCAGCCCACCCTGTGTATCACAGAGATTCCTGTGCAGAGAAAACAAGAATCAAGAAGAAAATAAACCCAACCTGCTGCCAAATCATTCTATTTGAACAGACTTATAAAAATGCTTCAAAATAGTTGTCTCAAAACAACAGGACTATTGCATTCCCTGGAAGACCAACATACTAGTTTTCTTTTATCTCTCCCTTTCTATTACTTAATAATCATTCATCCTACCTTCACACATACATTCATACATCCTTACAAGTTACTTCAAGTTGGACAAGAAGGAATATCCTCTCCCTGCAGAAAGCTTTTAACATAAGGACAAAGTTTCTAGTTGTTAGCATTTTGAAGTCATTAGAAACAACAGTGTAAAACCAGAAATAACATTATTACTCCATAGACAGTAATATAAAGTTACCACCATATGGAAAGGTAATTAATTATATAATGAAACCCAGATAAAAATAAACAAAAAGCAAAGAAATGTGAATTTATTGTGAATAGGGAGGCAGGAGTAAGCAAGTTTTCTATAAAAATAGGTATTTCAGTGCTAACTGTGACCAGGAAAGCTCTTTCCCATTCAGGTACCTGATCAGTCATTCTGCATTATGTCAATTCCTGTTCTGTTGTCACATTACATATCACACCAAACAAGTCTGAAATAACCTGAGATGATGCACTGTAGCAGTATATATCAAGTTGCAAGTCTTTTAAGGTAAAGTTTGAAGCTTGATGAATTTTCATATTTTACTTGTCAATGTATTTTCAATACATTTAAAAAAGTGCATCTATAACCACACCTAAGCTTCTAACCAGAGACAAATTACAGCTCATCTTAATCTGTCCATGCCCAAATATCCCAAAGACCACAGCAATTTTTTTTGTCAACAAAGCCTTTGACACTGAATATTGTATTCTTGGAATTTCTGTCTGCAGTAAAACAGAAGGTCTTTGTAAAGCTGATAGCTTCATAGAAAAACAAGTGACAGTGTAACCACAACTCTCCTCAGTCACTTCTAACCGTAAGAGCAGCACTATGAGTTTCCACGTTCAAGAGCTTCATTGAGCTCTCAGAACACGCATCAGAGCTCCAGTAACGGTGTGAGAAAACACTTCCATGATCTTCCTTTCCCTTCTACTTCCCTATACAAGCTCATGTTCTAATTTGCAGGAAAAAAAAAAAGAATAAAAAGAATATGAAGCCAATATTATTTTTCATTAAGAATATTGTTTTTACAAGGAAGGTTACCTGAAAGAAAAAGGAAACTTGCACACAAAGGTTACAAAAATTCATATATATGCTTGAAACGAATCCTCTGGCTAACCTTAGGCAAATACAAGTTAGGATTTGGACTGAGTTCCTTCTCCTCCAGGCACAGTAGAGCAGCGCCCGGTGCTCTTTTCACTGCAAGTGTTAGTATGGCGTGTCCCTGCTAACCACAAAGGAATCCCTGCTTTAGAATGATCTCCGAGAGGGGTGGGGATAGGATGTCACCTGTGTGGCAGGAATACTTAATCTAACGTAATAATGAGAACGCGATTCTTCTTTTAGAGTAGAACACTGTCCCTTATTTTTACTAGTAACACTGGGAGTCGCAATGAGTTTCCTTCCTTCCCTCTTCTCCTTCTCCTGGCTGTTGCAGTTCCTTTGCTCTAGCAGGGGCACAACATTGAGACACAGAAGCAGTGGGCCCCCGTACCCAGGAAAAACAGCCCAATTCTCCCCTCTGTTCAGTTAGAGCTTTGGAAAGGAACAGCAAGGAAAGCCCCCAACTGCACAGTTACCCAGATTTACTCTAGAAACCACAGGGACATCCTTGGGCTGCCCCTCAGCCTTCTCAGTAAACCTTCCCTTTTCCAACTTAACTGCAGATTATTAGTCCCACTGGGACCAATTCATTGCTATGGCAGCAGCCCAGAGACCTGTGTTGGCTCACCTTGCTATTCCTCATCAGCTGGTAGCTGAGGCCCCTGCAGCCACCATTTGAGGATCATCCCAGCCATCATCTTCAGTGCATCCTGCACCCCCAACAAATCTTTTCTCTATAAAGTTTGCAAAATCTAGTGTAGTAAAGAGTTATTCAGGTATTTGGCATGATTTTTGCTGACATCGTGTCTATGAAACAGTTCCCCTTTAAAAATACTTTCCACATTTGCAGTGTTACTTCTTTCTTTTGATTCCTACATCTCAGAAGAATAAACCGAGTCACAGGTCACTGTCCTCAACCAGTCACATAATACAACATGTCTACAACAGGTGTCAGAAAGCAGCTTGTTTTCAACAGTCAAACCCAAGCTTTTGGGATTACAAGTTCATCCCAGGAATAAAATCCACCTAGACACGTGGCAGGACTGGCCACAGAGTAATACTATAAACTGTTCAAAATTATCTTGTCAGATAACACGTGTATGTACCTATCCTCACGCCTAAATAACAATAAAAAAGTTCTGCACTGTCCTACCTCAAAATACAAAAACAATGCATATATGAATAAAAGGCAACAGCTTAAATATAATGTATTATTAATTTCTTATAGCAAGTGAAATAATAGTTCAGAAAGTTAACATAACTCTCAAAGTTAAGACATATATGTCATAATAAAAACACTAATGCTGGAGTCAAAAATAACGAGCCTTGGCTATCCAGTGCAAGTTCTGAGCCTCATTTTACAAAACTGAATTT